TATCTTTGGTGTCGAACTTCTGATTACTGAAGGAGTGCAGCCAGACGTTAAGCTCAATTATACTCGGTTCTTATGTCTCAAAATACTATTTTCAGTTTCAATTTGTATCTGTGGTTCCCATAAATGTGAAGCCCCATCTATTTAATAATCGCTCGAACAGACATTTTCACCCTTGTGGGCGCATCAGTCAACGCCTGCAGATCGTTAGCAAATCAAGCCATCCTCACAGAGTTTGCGCATTCTCGCAAACGTAAAAGTTTTCTTCTTTCACATGGTTTAAAAATGGTCTGGACTTTACACGTTTTTAATTTATATTTTTATTCTTTTTTCCGGGAAGTTGGAGAAATGATTTTGTTGCACCTTGGGTCGTAAACAGCGTCAAAGGTGAATACTTTCGGTGGGTCATTCAGTTCTCTTGGACTGCGCAATTCGATCACGCCACGGTCCGTTTGAACATCAACAATACTGAAATACTGATACAGTAAATGCTGCTACTGCACACAAAACAAGCATCTATTGAATATACGACACACCAACAAATTATAACAAACTACAGGGTCGCAAAGCCGAAAATTAAAGACGTGTGCTAGAAGACCACCGCAAGAAGCACGCCTTTTTTGCAAAACGATATACAGAATTGTCTACAACAACTTCCGATACGTGTTCGTAGGTTGCTGAATTGCAAGGTTGTTAACAATAATTTTCATGCCTTCGTAGTTGAGAAGTTGGAGGAGACGGGCGTTTAATTTGTGCCTGAGAACCTACAGTCTTTTTGTGAACAAAGTTGTTAGAATTTCATCTTCACAGCTTTCGTAAAACTGGAGTTGCAATATACGGACACACATACACACACAGAGATAATGTCTTTACAATACGAGTTTCCATGTTATGTACATACAAACCTTGTAGCGACGGGCACCACTTTTGCCAGTGACCATGCTTGAAAGCTGCCATCACGCTTTTCGTGCCTTACGGAATCAGGTAGTATTCTTATAAAATTTCAGTTTTCTTGGCTATCTAATTATCGAGGGAGAAGGTTTTTCCCTCAGATGGATCTTTTTGGTCGTTTTTTTCTTTTTATTACAAATTAATAGTCACTACTACTCATCAAACTTTGCATTAAAAAAGGGTC